TTCCATGTTGGAGTAGTCAATATATTTAATTTTCTTTGGTTTGCGGGCTTCAATAGTAGAAGTTTTGCGTTTCTTGGGAACAAGGGCAGTTGCCCCTGTTCTGGTACTATTTTTGAAGAAAAGCGAACTCTTTAATAGATTAATTTTGTCTTCCCTAAAATACTCTCAACCCTAAACGCAGATGGTCAGAAGAGAGAGATCATCGATCTTTTGTTAATTTTTTTAATTTGTTGTTGTTGGATAGACTATTGAATAACTGAACTATTTTCAAATGGCAATGCAAAAAATTGGCCAATATTTTTTTCTTTTAAATTAGTTTTTTTAACTTGTTTTCTTTTGGCTTCTTCTGTTGCAAGAATTGTTTAATATTCTTTTTGATAGTGTTTAGCATAATGATTTTTTAAATTGGTTGTTTGAATATCAATATTGTAAGAAGCTTCACAAATTATACAAATAAGACATATATTAAGTTTGTTTAATTTAAAATGATTTTAGATTTCGTGTGTAGTTCTCATTTTGAATATTCTTTAATATTTTTTAAAAAAATAAAATATTATTTTAAATAAAGATTTTTAAAATAAAATATATATGAGTTATAAATTCTAAATTCAATTTAAAATTCTAAATTTAATTTACCAAAATTAATCTAATACTAAATTCAAATATAGAAATTCCAAATTTGTAAATAAAACATTTCACATATAACTAAATATAGAAATTTAAATTTGATAAAAAAATTTTTCTCACAATATAAAAATTTTAAATTTATAATGAAAATTTTCTCACAAATAATTTTAACTAAATATAGAAATTCCAAATTTGATTCTAAATTCGAAAAAATTGCACCAATTAAATTTTAGCAATTATTATCAAAAAAATATTTAAAAATATTATAATTTTAACAATTCGAAAAATGTCTACAAGATGATTTTTTTTGTATCAACCAAACATCTGAAACTATAAAAGAGAAAAAAATAGCCTCAAAAAGACAATTTGAAGATAAAAAAGTTTTGAACAAGAAAACAAACAACTCAAACATGATTTAAAATATAAAAGGATTCAAAATAAAACTCTTCAAGATCAGTATAATGATTTGGAAAAAGAATTAAAACAAGAAAAGAAAAAAACACAAGAACTACAAGAAGAATTAAATATTAAAGAATCTTGTATTAATGAATTAGCAGAACGTATTGTATATTATACTGTACATTTTGGGCCAGCTTTTCAAGTTTGTCACAATTTATATGAACAAGAAAAATTTGAAAAAATTTTAAAAGAACAAGAAGAAAATGAGAAAAAAAAAGAAATTGATGTTTATTTGGTAAACAAAGAAGAAAACAAGAATGAATTTATTGTTAATGACAATGAATATGATTGTTCAACAAATTGGCAAATTGATGACAGAAAAGAAAAAGAAATTAACAATTATTTATTAAATAAAGAAAAAGAAAAAGATGAATTTATTATTAATAATTATAATTATTTTACTAAAAAAATTGATAATTATTCAACTAATGATTATAATTATAAGGATAGCAAAAAATTTGATGAATTAAGTTATATCGATTTTTAATTAAAATTCAATAATTGTATATTTATATATTTTTTATTTAATAAAATTTTACATATTTTAACTAAACTTGGTATCCATTTAAATTTCCTGTAATTTGATCATGTGCTAATTTAAATTTGATTGCTTGTTGTTTTGCTTGTTTATAAGTTCTATTTTTTGTAATTCTAAAACATTTTGATTAAATTTTTTATTTTTAACCTATTGGAATCTCCAAAAATTATTAAATTTATCAAAAATAATTCCATTATATCCTGAAGAATTATTTTTTGATAATCTACAATTTAACATATTTTGGCTATAAGTTGTTTCTTGAAGATTGTATTTTCTATTGTCAAGTCTACAATGATTTTTATAGTCTATCATTTTGTAATTTGGATAAACTATTTGATGAAATTGATAAATTATTTGTTTATTTTCTTTTTTAATATTTGGGACTTTTGCTAGAAAAATAGGGTTTCGAGATCCCTCCAATCAAAAATAGGATTTTTGTTGCATATTAATCTCTTATATAAAAACTTTACTCAGTATAAATTTTATACTATATTAACTTAATACAAAAATGAATTATTCAAATCCGGGTTTTTTTGAATATAAAATCTAAAAATAGAATTGAGAAGAGATCTACACGCACCCTGAGTATCATAATTATAGACAATAAACTAACCTTTACTTGTAACATGATTAGAAATCTATCTGATTGGTTGGTGATTTAGAGAAAATGTTGATCATACGAAGTCTTTAATGATATCAATATTTGTCAAAAAAGCAAGTAACGCTAAAAAAATAATTTTTTTTTATAGTTAACTATTTTTTCATATTTTCTAATACTTTTTCCAGTTTTGTACTTTAAACCCGAATATTGAAGCCATGTTTTTTTGATTCTAAGCAAATTTGACATTTCGTAAGTGTCAACTTTTTTAAGTTATATTTTATTACATTACCACTCTGGTTTATTGTTACTGATTATTTATTGCTTTAGTCTTGTGTATTGTTCTTCTAGTTAAACTTGTACCTTCTAGCTTTGTGGATTACTTATAATTACTATAGATTTTTCAGCATTGCTTGTGCTTAGTTAGGTGCTTATATTTTCTGGTATTTATATATTTTTTTTATAAATGCACTTTCACTTTGCTAATATTTCTATTACCACTCTGTTGCTAACTAATTGCTTCAGGTTTGCGTATTATTTTCTAGTTGAACTTCAACTCTTTCCTTTTTACTGGTATTCTTACCTTTTTTCTTGAGTTTTTATTACTTTGGTTTTTTTGTTACTGATTTAATTCAGGTTTATATGTTGTTCTGATTAAATTTACTTTTTTTTTTTACTAAGCTTTCGAGTTTTTACTATTACTTTTAGGGTTTTTTATCTTTGCTTTTAGTCTGTCATTTCAGCTTCACTACTGTTTCACTGCTTTTCGCCATTATTTAATCACTATTTCAGCACCACCTCATAGTTTGGATTAATATTTCACTTATTTATCACTATTACTTATTGTATTTTGGTAAGTTATATACATTTTATATGTTAAGCAATACAAAAATTGTCTAGTACGTATATGTAAATGACTAATATTATTTATTGTTTAGTTTTTTCTGGATTTGCGCAGTATACATCTTTGTATGGGTTGTCTACATGTTGTCTAATGTTTTTGTATAGATAGTATTTTCTTTCTTTTGTCATTGGTTTAATTCTTATAGTTTTTAATATAGTATAAGTATTAAAGTTATTGTTATTTAATAATTGAAAGATACTTCTACTTCTCCAGATTCTTTTGATATATAAACTTTTCCAATATCATTAGGTGAATTATTAAACCTAAAATGATAATACTGTTTTATATTGAGAAAATTTCAAAATGATCTTGAAATAATAAAGAAAAATCATTCCACATTCAATCTAATCCATTGTTGTATACAATTGCCATGTTTCCTTTAGCTGAATTATTGATAATTTGCGCAATATCAGCTAATATATTACTTCTTTGAGTTCTATATAATTTTTTTATTTTGTCAAAAAAAGAATCGCAAACGAAGGGGTGTAGCGACTTAGTGAAGTAGTGAAGTTGTTGCATCACCAAGTGGTTGAGTAGGAGTTCAATTTCAATTAAAGATGAAAATTGAATTTCGAAAACCAGATTCGGTAACTATCGTCATGGCTGGAAAAACTCGAGACCCTATAATTGTGGTCATACCAATTCATCAGAACTGTGAGATCTTGGGGCCTTTGTGTGATATAGAAGTTACACAAATAGATCTTTGGATCGCAGAAAGCTATAGGGCCGATACGGCGGTAGAGCATTTGCTTGGCAAGCCCCGAATAAAGAGATAATACAGATCTTCGACGGTATTACGTAAAGGATCATTATCAGTGGAATAGCAATAACTGAACAGGACTGAAGTGTTCGGCAAGGCACTCTACCAACCAGGCCGCCAAAAGAGTAACCGGAGGAAAAGAACCCAACCGTGGGGACCAGAAGCAGGTCACAGCCCTTCTGGGCTATCTGGATTGGTAGTTTGGAGACTGCTATAAGTAACAGATGATTGTCTGTAAAGTGGATATTGGGGTTTGGGTAAACTTTACAAGAGCAGAAGTAGGTTGTGTAGCAGAAAGGAAACTGGCTGCAAGTGGTGGGCCTTGGCCTATATATATCAACTGAAGTCTAGATTAGTCAGATTGTAGGTATGGAAAGCTCTAGCAGGTTTACCTTAAGGACAAAGGGTTCGCTGATCGAGCCTGCTTTAAAGTTCTAAGTCTGAATTCTTAAGGGGTATACCCTAAAAATTTGGTTATATATAGGTCAACTTATATATAGTACAGAGGGTTTAAATAAATAATTCCCTAGTTGAGTTATAGATATAGCATCTAGTGTAGAACTTAGTAATAAGCGAACTATTTAAATAGGTAATCAAAAGTTATACAGGTGGCTAGTATGTATCCTCCAAAAATATATATACTGTACGGGTGCTGAGAGGGGCTTAGCATACATAAAAAGTTAATCAGTAACTGAATAAAAGAGACCCGACCAAGAGGTCACCTTAACACCAAAAAAAAAAAAAAAAGAATCACAAACAAATTTTGTATGACCCAGAATCATAAAATTTACCATGATCTCTTCATACCAACCTAATATTACTAACTAATAATAAAAAAAAAGCAATAGGTTATTTTTATTTTGATCGCTACAGTTATCGCAAGTAATATATATATTTTTTTTTCTTCACGAGCGAAGTTTTGAAGAAAATGATAAACTATATTAAGCATAGTATTGGCACCTTTAGAAGTACCTTCAGAAAATTCATCTTCATCTATTGCAAAGTTTAATTGAGAATTTTGACCATCTTCCATTTTATATATGCCAAATAAATGAACTGAAAATAGATTTTTAAAATAAATCATTCCTACTTGTTGTGGTGAGTATAGAATTGATACATATTGCGCCCAATCATAGCAAACATGCGCGATTGACAAATTTTTTGCACTTTCATTTATATTATTATTATAATATTGTCTTTTCTGATTTGCTGCCTTACAGTGTAGATCATATTAAACTTTAATTTGATCGTATTCATCTTTTTTGAACTTTGCTACTAACAATTTTGCTTTAAAAGTTTCACACATTTCACAAAGATCACTCGTGGGCGATTGAAATTTAAGATGAGGAATTGTTTCTTGCCAAAGTCTTCTAAAAGTAAAATACGAAATAATTTTTTCATTTTGATCATTTTCACTATAAAAATGTTTTTTAAATTTATTATAAACCAAAATATAAGTACATCCAATAGGCAAATAAATAAATAGTTTGAATTCACTTTTGTGTCTCATTGGAGATAGTAATCTGTTAATAGCACTATATCATTCTAAAAAAAGTTTAATAGGAAACATAATACTAAAATCAAGAAACACTTTGTTTTTTACTTTAGGTACATGACCAGTGTTTCTGTGAATTCTCTCTGTTATACCTTGATTTTGTAAATGTTCTTGCATTGTGAAAAGAAAGTATTCATTTATTCCATAAAGTTTTAAAAATACAGGTTTGCAAAGAGGAAAAGAATGATTGTAACTATATCTATAATTAATTTTTTTGTGAATTTCTAATTTATCATTTGTAATCTCGAAAGCTATTAATTGTGTTTTTAAAAATAACTTGAGTTCAGATTTATCTAACACTCTTACTTGAAAGTGTCTTTCGAAAAATTTTTAAATCCAACTTTTTCATAACATGATCTAATATCTTTTTTATTAGATACATATCGGCATGTGCAATTTGCTTGTTCAAAAATTGCATTAAATTGTGAACAGTATCAAGAACTAATTCATTATCTTCATATTCTTCTAACCCTAACTCGATTAGATTATATACTGGTCTCAAAGAAGTCAAATCTGAGTCTAAATTTTCTATTACCAATAATTTTAAAAAAATTACACGATTTTATTATTGAATTAAAAAGAAATACAATTCATTTTTAAAAAAATATGCAAATTTATACTGTAAGCTAAAAAAAAAAAAATAAAAAAAATAAAAAATGTAAAAACCCAAAAAAATAATATCTATAGAATGCATAATATGTATCATATAAATGGCGAATTAAGTATATTAAGCATGTATAGTATATAACATAAACTTTCATATTTGTAGTAATTATTATAATATCTATTGTAAAAGGGCAGTTCGAGTGCATTTCATTATTTTTTGTAAAACTTCATGAATCTGTAACATGATTTGGTGAACCGAATAATTTCTATTATTTGAAAGTATAAATTTTATAAATATGGATAAAACATAGAATAGAAAACATGAATTAACTTTTTTATAGTAAATACAGATTTTTTACCAAAATTCTTGATATGTATGTATGTATTAGCTAATACTTATTAATTCACATCATCATCTTTTTAAAAGAGAATGTTGGGGTTTTTATGCACAATCAATTATATTAGGGCTTCTCTACATTTTCTGTTGTTTAATTTCAAGAAGTGTTAATATTAATATTGTTTATAATTCTCATGCTACATCAAAATTAGTATCTTATATTGTTTTAGTTACATTTTAGATCAATGTAAATATATGTGAAATGATTTCATATAATGCATACGTAAAGAAATTGTTGAATTTCAAGCCTTAACTGGTTTAAATTTATTTATCTATAGTTATATTAATATCATTAATCCCCTGATCACTATATTAAGATTATAGAAGAATTAATTAATAATACCCTGACTGTGAGTAAGCAGAAACTTTGTTTTCGCTAATTCCTAATGGATCAGGATATTATTATTACTTATTCCACACATACATATACGTAATTATAGTGCAAACCATCTAAAGATATAAAAAATACTACTAATCATATTATAATATATGCCAAAGAGTAAATCACAAGGCAGTTCAAAATTTTAATGTACTTCCAAACCCCAATATCGTTACTTGCACCACATAATGCTACTCTAAAATTCTCTACATACTACTCAATAAATCCTTGAAAAATTCATTGAAGAGTAACAATTTTGAATGGTTTGCACCATATTCAAAAAGTACTACTTTACATTCAAACTATAGCATAGTCTTTTACAAGGGGTTCACACTTCATAGATGCTTGAACTTTATCAAGAATTCATCTTTTATTAGAAAATTTGTCTTTGTAAAGGCTTAATTTTCACAAGTTTCTTGGGAGGTTAGAAAGTCTTATATGTGGAGGTGAGTTTTATCTTTTGTAGAAGAACTTTGACTTTTTGTATTAGGTTTTATTTTTTAGTAGTAAGTTCATTTTTCATCATTTTGCAATAATGACTTCATCTAATCATACTGCTTACCATGAATCCACTAAAATTCAATTGATCACAATACTAGAGTGCTTGAAAATGCCCTAAACTAACATGAATAAATGGTATTAAACAAATAAATATAACTTTCAAAATTATAACTATTAACTTCCAGAAATCATAATTACTCTAATAAAATACTTTAAACCTAACAGATAAATTTTTAGTAACCTAAATTACGGGTTTAAACAAAATTTTAAGTGTTGTTTATACTATTACTTAAATTGATATAAAGATATATACATAACCGTGGTATTTGTAGTTGTCAAGGATAAGTTCTTGCGATATTACATATGTTTGAGATATTGCCATAAAAGTGCGTATATAAGACCCAGGTCTAACACATTTCACCAATCTTAAAACTTTTAATAGATGTATAGTATACAATAGAGATTATGTGCATCATGGAAAAAAATTTAAAATGCATATATACTATAATTGGCAGTCCAACTATTCAAAAATAAGTACAGTCGATTAATAAAGATCTTGCGGTCTGCACTCAGGTTAGTGATGTCTGACGAAACCATAAGTTTCATCAAATTTTGTTATTGACAAAACTTGACAAAACTTATGGTTTCGTTAGGTTTTATCATTTTATCAGGCATCATTAGCCCAGATTTAATTTATGGTGGTTTATCGTCAAAGAGTAAAAAATATTCAGCACTTTTACAAAACCTTGTATTTTAGTAATTTGTTATATTTAGAAATTGACTTTTTTATTTGAAAATAATATCAGAGCCTGAAGTCATGCGATTATTAAATTTGTGTAATAATCTCTCAGAGGGTTATTTTACTAGCAAAAATTTTGTACAACTTAAAATTTGTATAACATTGTCTTGGAAGATCATTTTACTAGCAAAAATTTTGTATAACAGAATCTAAATTTAGAAGCAAATTTAATGATTTTCAATTTGTGTAACAAATTTTTAGTTATTGTTTACTTGAAATCAGGTGATTAGTCTCGGAGGGTCATTTTCCTAGCAAAAATCCTATTTGTCTGTATATAATTTTACATTTATAAGAATACCAAGTAAAATTTTTTATTAAATTAATATTATCAAGATATAAAGCTTCAAAGTCTTTGAATTTTTCTTGCCAATTCATTTTTAATAGTAAAAAAAGAAAATATAAGTCTTTTTATAATTTAAAAATTGCTAAGCCACAAATTTATTTTTAGTTTAAACTAATTTAATTTTTTTTTGTTTGGATAATTCTGCTTTTTCATAAAATCTTTCGTAATCTGATATTCTATCATCAGATTCATTAACTAGATTACTATCAATATTAATAAAATCTATTTCTTCACTATTATCTATTTGACTATTTTCTAAATTCATATATTTAAATATTTTTTGACTTTTAGAATAGTCTTTTAGATACTTTTTCATATAGTCAGGAAATGATCTTCTCCAATAAACATTATCGCTATTGATTATATGTTCACCAGAAATTTCTTTAGTTATTTTTTTACCTTTTTTTACTGTGGCTTCAGGTCCAAATTTATCAACCAATATTCTACATCAAATATCATATTTCGAAAATTTTCTTCTGAACCTTTTTGGAAAATAATTTTAGTTGTTCGTTTTTCAATATCTTTATGCTATTTTCCTATAAATTCAATTATATAATCAAGTCTTCTCTCAAATTGACCCCAATCTAAATATAAATAAATAAAATAATTTTAATTATTAAAACATATAAATTTAGAAAAAATAAATTAAAATAAAATTATTAAAAAACCTCTTTGATTTGTGTCTTCTTCACATTGACCAAAATTAAATGCATCTTCTGGAGGCTTTCTTGCAGTTAAAAAAATATATTTTGCAAGAAATAGGACAAATCCTTTAGCTTTAATTTCTATCCATTCAGATGTGTCATTAGGATAATTCACAATATCTGTCCAGTCAAGCTTCATGTAAAACTCATCAATAAAAACTACTTCTTGATCATCATAATCTATAAAATTTTAAAATAAATATAAAAAAATATATAATAAATTTTATTTATCATTTTGCTTACCATTTCACCAATTTGAATCAAACTTTTGCTTTTTAGTTTTTTCATATAATTCATCTTCAAATAAAGCTTGAACAAGTCCAAATTTTCTTGAACTGCCAGATCCGAAAAGATAAAAAGTGATTGGCCACCAAAATCTCTAATCTTTTTCTTTTTGTTTTTCCTTTTATAAATCTTCATAAATTCTTGTTATTGTCTCATAACTTCTACAATATAGAATTTTGTTTTTGTTTTTTTCTAAATATTTCAAGTGGTATTTTTCCTTTTTCTAACATTTCATTACTTTCTATTTTACCTGATGTTCTTCAGCTTTTAATTCATTTATATTCAATTTTCTCTTTTTAGTATATTTCTTTTCAGTCTCTCTAAATTCACCAAATTCAAAAGAACCAGTGATTTTTTTTGGTAAAGTGCCTCTACCTCAAAATGTATTTTTTCATTCACATGTTAAATCACATTTATTATATTCGTGATTAATATCATAATAATCACAATAACAATCTGGATGCTTTTTATAATGATCATATAGCTTTAACATATAAGCTTTATTTTGAATTAAAGTGCCTTTTAATTTTTTTAAAATATTAAAGAATTATCTTCTTTAAATATTTCTTTAGCACTTTTAAGAGTTTGTCATTTATTTAATGAAATTGCATATATATTTGTGCATGTAATTGTTCTTTATCAGTTAGCTCAAATTTTCAACTAATATAAGATATATTATTTTTAATTTTATTATAAGTTTCTTAAGTTGTTGGTACAACTCACTTACATTCAATATTATTTGCTTTACAATAATCATATATAATATCATTATATTTATTTATTAAACAACAATTTGTACAAGTATCAACTGAACAATGCCATTGTTGAACTTGACGTAATTTACAAATTAGAGTACCAGTTTTTTTAAACTTGTCTTTACGAGACTGTATATCTTTTTTATTTTTAGTTTTAATATATTTAAATTTTTTTTTACAAGGTAAACAATGATATGTTATAGCAGATGTATGATAAAATTGATAATCACTCATTTTTTTTGTTTTTCTGCAGTTAAAGAAAATTAAACTTTATATATATATTTTTATTTATATATATTACTTTAAAATTTTAATTTTATTAAATAGTAAAAATTTAAAAATAATGTGATATGTTATTAGCCTTACAAAAAAATGTAAGTTACCAAATCTCGCCACTTGGTAACTATATATCAACTAGACAAAATTTCAAAATTTACAAATTTTTCTTGTCAATAATTCATATTCATAATATTTATTTTTAAATTTTGTAAATATTTTTTTATTAGAAATGATTAAATTTTTTACTGAATTTTTACAACTTTCTATTTTTTTATCTAACCATTCTGTATTTATATTTTTAATTTAAAATTTACCTTATTATAGAAATTTTTTACTTAAAAATTACTTATATATTATATTTAACCTAATTTAGTATTTACTTTTATAGTAATCAAAATTTAAATATTATATAATCTTTTAGAAATTTTTAAATTATTTTGTACTAGAAATAGAAATTTCTTTTATAACTAATTACATAATCAATAAAAATCTTTATATAATAAAAAAATTACGTTAAAAAAAATAAAAAAAAATGAACTGGCAAAAAATTTAAAAACTTTGAAATTATTACAGATTGAGAAAAATATAAGAATCCTAATAAACCAAGACACAAACTCAATGAATATTATCTTGTCAAAATTAATTTTACACTTTATTTAAAAGTTAAAACTCAGAAACTAGATATTACTTTTCAGGGTGTGGTGACATAGTGCAGTTGGCAAGTTGTCACCCCCCCAAATGGCAGATCTAGGGTTCAAATCCCAATGGTAACGATTTTGAAAACTTAAGATTTGTTTCGGTAACATTTATTCGATGATCGGTTGGGTATATCATCTGTAGTCTTGGTACCACCATCTTGAATGGGAGCTTTTGGGCGAAGTATAAAACCAAGGAATCGGAATAATTAAAACCCATTTGGCAAGTCCCAAGCAAGGAGGTAGTGGAGATCTTCGACAATACTGCAGAAACCAGAATCCCGGAAACCGGAGACCGAAGAACTGGACACAATAACCCTGGGGCAAGAGGGGTTTACCAATCTGGCCGCCGGAGTC